CCCTGAGCTGCGATCCCTTGCTTAGCAAGTACAGCTGTCTGCGCTTGCTGGAATAGGCGCTTTTCTTCTTCGGCGGAGAGCCAAGCGTTCGAAGAAACGGCTGCTGCTGCCCCACGGGGCGCTGACGATGTTGCTGCTGACGATTCAGGGCGCATTGATATGGGAGGCTAGAGAAGGGATCGTCACAAAAAAGCGCATGATATAGGTCAGAATACGCACCGGCGCCGCAGCGGGCCCTTGTACTTTCGCTACATTATTCCTCGCATTCTCATAGCGCCTCTTCTCCTCTTCAGCACTTGGCCATTGGTTCTGCAAAGACGTAGATCCTCCAGCCGCACTTGATCCCGTAGCTTGCGCGCTTCGGTTTCGCGAAATGGATTCTTGAGGATCGACATTCTTGAGCTGTAACCGCGGCGTAGCACCTGCGCCACGTCCAGATACCGTCGTTGTGTTGGCTCCGGTCGTCGTGCTTGTTAACGAGGGATTGATAGAGAGGGCGGGCTTTGTCGTGCCGAAGTCATCAACGCCACGTCCCAAACCGAATCCAGCGCCGTAGCCGAGACCATCATTGGAAAGTTTGGGCGCCGCGGTTGTGGATGATGCACCGGGTAGGGAGTTGAAATCGCCTGCCGAGCTACCACGGACGTGGCCGTAGTCTATATTTGCGCGGTTGGTGGGAAGTGTAGACGCAACAATGTCCGAAGGGCGCCGACTGGTTTCAAGGCGATTTGGGAGGGTTTGAGGTTGCGTTTGAGGGATTAAGGACAGACCTGGCGCCGGACCAATGCGACTGATATGATAGTTAATGACCGAGTTCATCAAAACAAAAATAACAAAAATAGTACACACTTGATAGCTTCGAAAGATACGGTCCTACAAATCATGGATCGTCCATTAGCGCTATCGAAAAATATAGAATATAACATACCTTTGCCAGTTCGAAATGATGACCGGAAGGTCCATGATGATTTGTGAGCCCGTACCCATGAGTGCTTTGATGCACAACACGTAGTTAACATCGATGTGTCTAGCTGCGTTGAGTGTCGTCGTCGTGTGGTTTGGCGAGATCATGAAACTCAGGTCAGAAGATTGCGTCTGGCCTCCAAACAGTGGTAGGTTGATCGGGACCTTGGTTTCGCCGATAATAGCCTGCCTAGTCTGTGGGGCAGTATTCTTCCTACCGGCAGCATGCGCACCGCCGCGGAAGACAGTGGTCTCCTTCAGAAAGAATTCGAACCCCCGCAAAATGACGGTGTGGAGCGAGTCCGACTTGACTGTCGCCGTCACAGAGACTCGGTCGCCTGGGCCGTAGCAAGTAGTGTTGCGGTCGACAATGAGGGTGACGCCATCTTGTGTGGCGTGTCGCTTTTCGGGTTGGCAATAGACTGGCCAGGTTGCGTGGAGTTCGTGCTTGTCGATGATGATGGGGGCTATCTCTGATACAACCACAGATTTGGCCTTCCGTAGAAACCCTCTGAGATTTGATTAGCATTTAATTGTTCGAAAATGGAAACTTCTATTCACCTTTTAACTTTGGTGCATACACTTGCAACGAGTTCATAGCCAATGCCAGCTGTCGGAGCAGTCAGATTGTAAAATCCAGCATACAAGGACCGCGCACCTTTGTTATCCAGCGCAATAGTGGGTGGTATTGATTCGGGAATGCGTATGGAAAAAGGAAAGTCTTGCTAGGGGGCTATGAGTTGCTGCAACCATGCTACGACAACGATCGAAGCTCACCGAGCGCAGCAGGCTGTATTCGTCAGATGTACTCCAGAGATTGACCGGACTAGGCCCGACGAAATCGTAAAACGTGTTGGACGGCCCACCGCCTGGTAGCGTCTCCACCTTGCGCAGTTCAATGCGCACCCACTTCACCTTCACCCCCTGCTGTGGCACCCGCACCTCGATGGCCTGCAAACCGCCGTCCTGTCAACTCATCGCTCTTCCTCATACAAAAATCGTCCACTCACCCCCCTCACCGACGCTTGGGGTCGATCAGGCCCAGGAGGAATACCAGGGTATCCTGTACAGCAGCAGCGACTTCGTCAGAATATTTTTCTTGGTTGGAAATGATGGAGAGCGCCCGTGCGTTGCTTGACACGCAAACGCCACATACCAGTCACAAAATCGACATTTGGGGGCGGTTGAAGATTTCTGCAACAGATGACTGGTCAACGACTGTTCCAGAAAGTCAATGGTTCATAATAAAGCTGCCAAACTTACAGTTTTACCTGGGACATTGCTCCACTGCGACGCGAAGGGAAGAAGGATGTATGTGGGAAAGGATAAGAGCAATTCTGCCGGCAAGGAACGAAAACGCCGAACGGCGAGCTGGGATCAGTGTATGATGATCTTGGGCAACCGCCGTTGAGTCCGGATGGAGCGCGGTGGTGCGGCTGTGTCTCTCTTCATCACATGGTTCACGGTGCACAGCGTGGATGCCAAATATTGTCAATAAACTTATAGGTTTACAAGCATATATGCTAGTGAGAAGGAAAGATCTTGTAGAAAAGACTACAGAGGAGGGCAAAAGCTGAAAAGATAGAAGAAATACAAAAAACATAATCAAAACTTGAACTCCTTGCCCTTTTTGTCCTTCTCGCGATCGCGGTCCATTTTCTGTTTCTTTTTCGCCATCTCTTTTGCAACCATGTCGGAGAAGTCTTCTCCACGACTGCCTGCACCCGGAACGCCTGCATTTCCCCGAGCATGACTCTCATATTTGCGACGGAGCTCTTCCTCGGAAAGTCCTTCCAATTCCGCTGCATCCAACGAGACGTCGACACCGGCTTTGCGCTGGAGATAGGAACAGTATTAGGTACCTTTTAGGCAAAAAAAGACTGAAATAAAATACACACCTTCGTCCCTCGTTCGTCGCCCAGCACAGGAATGGGAGCACCAGCGACTGCACTGACGTCGTATCCGCGCTCGCTGCCCATCAATCCGCGCACTGAAGTCTGCTTCTCTGGGACAACTTGGTACAGTGACCTTGGACCAGTAGACTCCATTGCTTCCGACACGGTTCTTCCCTTTCTGAGCTCCAAGAAATCGGGTGTTTCCAGACCGCCAGCGACAGTTGATACCACACTCGCCATTCCTGACGGCGTCTCCAATCCCGAAGGTGTCTGCAGACCGTCTACTGGCGCAGGCTCGGTCTCCTCCTCTTCTGACTCTTCCTCGGATTCTTCTTCTTCTTCTTCTTCCTCTGTAACATAGAACACACGGGGTCAACAACATAGAAACGACAGAATTTTGAGACTAACCTTCTTCTGGTTCGAGCTCTCCCCATAGCTCTTTGTCGATAGGTTCGCCAGCCTTAAATCAGAAGATCAGCATTTATACGAACGATTGAAAGTAGACGTAGCGTACTCCAGAATCGCCAGCCTTTGGCAGAACACCGAAGACATCACCATAAAGAGGTCGATTGTATTCGTCCAAAGGAGGTTTACCCCAGCCACCTGGGTGGAAACCCCACTGAGCTCTAGAGACGAACGTCAGTAAGTGAAGGACCACCGAACATCAGTAAAATGAAAACATACCCTTCTGGTATAGGAGCATTGAGGCCAGGTATCCGTAATGTTGGGTAACTAGGCGGAGGACCGAACCGTTGCATGCTGATCAACCAAGGAGGAGGTGCCAAAGGAGGAATGGACAACGCCTCAACCAATTCAGGAGATAAGTCTCCAGGACGCTTTTCTTTCAACGATGTTTCAAATTCTTTGCCTTCATAATACCTGAAATCACAACTTCAGGACTACAAATTCCGTGAAAGGGCAAAAAGGCTCACATTTCGCCGAACCCAGTGACAGGCGGCTTCGTCTGGAACTTGAAGAACGCATCGTGCAGCTTCTGGTAATCGATATCCACTTTACCCATCTTGGGCTGCACGCGCTCCCTCGTCTTCGCCTTCAGACTCATATTCGCCTCTTTCTCCTTCACCGCATCCCTCATCGTCGCAATACCAGTGTCCGCAATATAAGCCGGAAGTTGGAATGGTGGCTTTTCGATACCCCTCTTTCCTTGAAGGTAGTCGCGCTTCGCACTCCAATGTATAGGGATAGGGACCGTGTTGCGGTAGGATTTGAGATGCAGTAGTAATCGTGGGTCTGAGGCAGTAACATCCGTCCATTCGACGACTTCGGGTTTCTTCACTAGCTGCTTGAGCTCAGCGACCGTCAGGCGTGCCATCTTCCGCGCCTTTTTCTTCGAGAGAGGCTTGGTCTCCGTGTCCGAGTCACCTTCCGAGGCCATATCGTCATCCGAGTAAATAATCTCTCCTTTGTTGGTCGAATCGGATGTACGGCCCTGCTGATTGAGAGAACAAATCATTAGTACAGAAATGTAGAAAATAACAAATGCGAACGTACTGCAGATTCATCTGGAGGGAGCTGGAAGCGAGCAAATACGTCGGAAAACGCTTCAAGCCCGGCGTCGCTGAGATCCAACTGCTCAGACACGTACTCAACATTAGCTGGCTTTTCCTCCCGCTGCGAAGCCCCTGACTTCACAGTCCCATTCGTTTCCGTCTTATCTTGTTCCTACAAGATCGTGCAGATATAGGCGAAACCGTCAGATACGACCACACGAGCGGAATAGAAGGACGACGCACAGAGAGCTTTTTCTGTTTCTGTTTGAGACGGCGCAGCTGATTTTTAGATTTTATATGCTTTCCATTGACAGCGTTCAGGGACGGCTTGTCTGCGCTTTTGTTGAGGACGTCTGCCTGAGCCACCACCATACTTGGTCGTGGAGAACGAAGTTGGAGGTAAAGAGGGATATTGCTTACGTAACTTAGACACCAGAAACCTAACCTAACCCCCCGTGATGCTTTCCACTGATGCTGCAGTAAAACGATGTCGAAAGTGTGTAGCCTGAGGTACTGTATAGAAAAATATATGCATGATGTTCTCCAAATTAAATCTAAACCCGTAGAATTGCCTGCACAAATAAAAAATTGTACCGAATGCGGAGCATTAAACCAAGCACAAAAGGCTATCGGTCCAATGGTCTAGTGGTTATGATTTCTGTCTTACAATTTACGTTGTAAAGTACACAGACGGTCTCCAGTTCGACCCTGGATTGGACCATTTTTTCTCAATCAGCATCGCATACGATATGTCGCTTTGAAAATCGAAGTTGGATTTGAATTTTGAAACCATCCATTTTATCACAATCTTCAATGCGAACCAACAATAATATGCAATATTGACTACATATAGTACAGTTGCTTTTCTTGAGCTTGTGGTAATAGTATTACAAAGAGATACAGTCAATCTAGGGAACGAGTTGTAGAATACACCGGACGTGGAGGACCAAAAAGGAAAGGAGTGATGGTAGATGGTAGGCAAATGCGTCACGAACGAGGTACGATACGGTATGTGGTAAGCGTGTATGGATTGGTGAGTCCTTGAAAGATTGACGAGGATCAACACAATTGGTGGAGTTCGTGAATAAACATAAATCGCGGGTGACAAGATAAGGAGAAAAATCGAAACGCGGGATTTGGATGACGAGACAAAGAGCAGCACTGCCGAGCACGAAGGGACAAGAACAAAAACGTTGAGCATTGGCGAAACCGTAATCATCAAAATTAGGGAATGGGAATTGGAGTTCGAGACAGGACCGAACCAATGGGCAGGAAAGTGGTGGAAAGTATGCGGGAATTACCATGCGTTCAATGCTGAGATCGCCCGATGGACCTCCAGCCATTGGACAACATGCGCCCCTATTTGTCCTTTCGCTTCTTCGGCTTGGACGCTCCAGACGTCGCCTTCGCAGTCGCACCCTGCTCATCCGTACTAGCCGCGTTCATACTGTCAAAATCCATAATCACATCCGACTTCCTTTTCAACCGTTGTCCTCCAGTATCAGGAACAGCAGAAGCCGCTTTCGCCCCACCCACAGGCGACGCGAGATTGAGGCCAGAACTAGTAGAGGTGGCATCGCCATCATTAGCAGTACCCAACTCCAACAACCCGGGAGAGACATGCCTCAAAGACTGCGCCGGCGATCCTGTGGGGTCAGACACGGGTGTCGGAGCTTCGTCTAGGAAGGCAGTCGAGGCGAGGTCGTTGAAGTCCATGTCTACTACTGCGCTGCTGCCATCCATGCCTGGTATTCCAGTGGCGCCTTCCTGGGGTGCGGACATGTTATTGAAGAACGTGTTGAAAAAGTCGAAATCGGATGTGTTGACATTGGATTCGGGCACCGTCTGTCCTTGCATGTTGTCGTCCTGCTGGGGCGGCACCCCAGCATCGGCGCTTCCAATTGCAGAATGATCGTCCAACAATGATGGATCGAGGCCGAACGTTTGAATGAGCGAGTGTATGCTCGTGTTCAGAGCGCTCACATCCTTATCGATATCTTCCGCAGCTTGCCAGCTCCGCTGCATGCGTGCGTCGTGTAGCTGTTGTTCTGAATTGATGTTATTGACGAGTCCTAAATTGCTGCTTCCGGCATGTTGATCGTCCGATGGGGATCCTGCATCGTAGGCGTCGAACGGAATTAAGCCCTCTGGGGCAACAACGGGAACACCAGAGGGGTTGTATACATTGGTGTGGGCGGGATTGATGGAGAAATCGAAGGAGGTTGGTTGTTGGTATTGAGTGAGTAAGCCGTTTGTAGTAGTAGCGCTAGGATTGATAGTGCCACTGGATATGGAGGGTCCGGGCTGAGTGGTATCGTTGAGGGTTTGGGAAGCAAGTGATGAAAGGAGGTGCTGGAGCTGGGAAGGTGAAAGTTGATTTAAGACGCCTTGAAGACGAGGATCGAACTCGAAAGATGGAGACCGAGCAGGAGTCACTGCTCGAGAAATTTCCTTGCCCTGTTGTTGCTGTGTCGGTGTTGGAGATGTATCCGTTTTAGATGAATTGCTTTCAGAAATGGGGTAATACGCTAAGGCATCGCCGACTGTAACGCCTTCAGATACCGAAATGGAAGGGGAAGGAGAGGCTACGGAACTCGGTGTTTCAATCGTAGGATAACCTGAAAGAAATCATCAGCTTTTTACGGACTCTAGAGGCATTTCACGCACTCGTTTCGAAATCAGTCTCCATTGGAATTTCAGATAGTTCCTCTACCATGCTTTTCTTCGGACCGTCCCTCTTCGCATCCTCAATCATCAATCGCATCTTTCGTCTCGTTCCAGAAGACATCGTATCCCCCAAACCACCCTCCTTCTGTTGACCGCCCGAAACGTTCGGTGATGCTCCTGCCACAGGCCCATTTCCGGAAGCTTGTTGTCCAAAAACACCAGCAAGAAACTTGAGGATCCGATTGATGGTATCCTGTTGTTTTTGGTGTTTCGCGCGCGCAGCAAGTGCATCCTGCCATAGGAGTTGATTAGAACGCTTCAATTCGTTCAATTCGGTTGATATTGTCGTCTGGTGTCGTTTAATGGCCGCGATTCCATTCACGATCGAGTTCACGTCGAGGATCTGCCCGGAGGCTAGCGTCGGATTCGTCGGGTTGACATTTGAGGTTGCTGGGGCAGGCAGTGCAAGACCGCTCGTCGAGTCACGGAAATCAAGAGCGCCTTCTTCACCGGGCTGTGGTACTTGCTTTTTGCGTTGTATGAGGCACAGCAAGTCTGGCTGGCCGCGATGAAAGTTGGCATGAGCGAAGTTCCAAAACTCTGTGTCGGTGTCGCTTTTGAGCACTCCTTGTTGGAGATGAGGGATTTTGTGGAAGCCGTACATGTTCAGCTGTCGTACAAAAGAGCTGAAATTCCGATGCTTAAACCACCGTCCAAGGACCTCATGAGCGAAGCGCTCGTGGTCCAGTACTAGATGAAGGGTTGTCAGGGAGCGATTACAAGTATATTGACTGGAACTACGCACCAAAGAACGAATCTCCAGCATCCGACCAGCGTATTAGCTCTGCATTGTTTGGATCGTTTACCATTCTGCACAATATCTGTCAGATTGGACGAGAGACAGCTTGTGAAGCACTCACTCGTATAGTTTTTGAAGAAATGCAGGGACGACCTGCCTGGCCGCTTTGGAGATATGAGTAGATGGTGTGGGCATTCTATGGGGTCTCGAAAGCGCAACTTGGTGGTCTGAAGCCATTTGTTGGCTCAAAGTAAGCCACAGCAGAAGAGATGGGCCAAAGTTAGGTGAAAGTGTGTTTCATAGATTACCGTGACAGAGCTTTGTCAAATACGATTGGGCACTGCCACCCATTCTTTTTGATTTCTGTCTATGGAAATATCTGAAGTCGCGCTGAAAACAAACAATACTACAGCATCCTGGAGCTTGCTCTCCTCTTTCTTAATTTTCTGAATTCAGCTTCCTTACATCCCGAAGCTTGAGATGTTCCTTACGAAGTTCAAACAGTTTATATCTACGAGACAGTCTGAGTATAAGTAGACCGCCGCGAGCTGCAATCGAAACTTCTACTCCGATTTACACTCCGTTCAATTGATTAGTATTTACTGTCAATGACCGACCGTTCTTGTCAGAATTTTCTTTCGCTTATCTACAATAGCGCTGAGATATGTAGAAGCTATATCTAGAGTGATAAGTCGTTTTGAAATACATTTACACATTGAAAAATTATTTTGAGAGAACCCCCCTCTCTCCTTTAATATCAATGTTACGTGTCAAGACAAATGCCTGTATAGTCAGAGGTCGAAGACTAATCCACATCCATACGAAGCAAGTCATCTTCGTAGCCTGGCAAATAAATCAGCTAAGTGTGGAAGTCCTAAAAACGGGACATACCTCTTTGTGTTTCCAAGTAAGAAGCCATGTAGCGACGGCCGGATGGGCGATCGCCGACCTTGATGCTACTAATAGAGGATACACTACTCAATATTCGGCTTCTGAAAGAGCCACTGGCTTTTCTAGACGAGGACGACGTTGCTGAGGTTGGGCTATTGGAGAAAAAGGTCTGCCACGTTTGGTCGTCCAGAACCACGGAAGACCCTATGATACCAATACACTGGTTTTCAAGAAGTTGACCATTACGCAATTCCTCAGGGGACGGTCCCGACTTGACCTTCCACTTTTCGCTTGTCCAGTCCCATTGATATTCATACGGGTTAGAGTAATCAGTGGGGGCGAAAATAATGCGTTCAGGTTCTCTGACACTGTGTTTTGAGAGAAATGTGGCGATGCCCCAAGTCCGAGCGAGATGGGTGCCATGAACAAAGATCAGCGAGCCATTGGGAAGATTCGGAATATCAGGATGTGCATTGACATGTTGGTACCATGATGCCGCATTTTCTCTGAAGTATTGCTTGACATGCGGAGCTCGGAAGAATTTACTTCGAAGCGTAGATTTTGTACCTCCGTGTGGGAGGACGATGATTGCTCCACTGCGTCCAGACTTCCTCTTGAATGTGAACTGAAAGGATCTGTAGAATTTTTTTTGGTAGTGAGAAACGCATGCGCCGTGAATTCACTGAACTCACCCTTGAGGCGTCCCACTGTGTCGTTCAATATTTTCGCTGAGATAAAAGTGCCCTCTTTGGAGGGGTACCTCTGTGACAACGTCTGACATTTGCGCTGCAAGTTTGTCAAAATGATGGGGAGGGGGAGGCTGAGCCCCACGGCGAATGTTTCCTTTGTGTGAGTGAAAGATGTTGAACAGGGTGGTAAACTCTCCTGATTCTTCTAAATACCCTACGTCACCGACCTCGACACTATGCCACTGCCGAGTCGTCGCCCGGTATTTAGGGCAGGGAGTCCAAAGAGGAGTCGTGTCTTCGTCTACGATAGCTGATGTCATATACAACGAAATGTGGTTGTCTGCATCGGTCGGCTTCCTTCTTCTCCAGCTGACGGTTCGAAGTCCTTCGAGAGATTTATGGCGTAAAGGAGACAAATACGGGCTTCCTAAGGATAAGCAAACCTCAGCATAAGTATATGGAAATAAGTGATGTCCCATACCAATTGAAATATACTTGTCCGTTATTGTTGACGTCGATGTCGTTAATAGGGACGTCACCGACATATCAGGCCGATGGAGCGAGGGTTTGCTATTGACAACCAATTGCTGTTGCTCTTCTGGAATTGTCTAAAATTGGCAGGCAAGTTTTATTATTTAGAACAATTTGTTTTCTAACAAATGAAACTTACCTCAA